CTATTTTCTCTGCTGAAACTGAAAAAAAGTCAATATTGCATCTAAAATGTAAGTGACGTATCTTGTGTGTGTGACTACGTTTGTTGCAGTGATAAGAGTTGTACCCCTGTTAAAGTTTAAGGCCTTGTCTTTCTGGATATACATCTTCTTTTTTTTCTTTTTTTACTAAATATGCATACAACCCATTTATTTTGGATTTATTATTTACTTAATTTAAATTAATTTAAGATTGTATGTTTGGTAATTGAACCTGAATGAATTTAAAATGAATGTGCTATATTTCAGATCCTATATTTGTTTTTCTTAAAATTTGAACTAACTTTATTCTCAAATGAATTATAAATAATTTATTTCTGTATAAAAGAAAAACACATTTGATTTTTCTTTTTAATCAATGTAGAATGTGTAACTGAAAAATAAACAGATTAGGGCTCTGTTCGAGGACAAGAAATTAAAACCAATGTTACATGATGAAGAGAGAGAGAGAGAGAGAGAGAGAGAGAGAGAGAGAGAGAGAGAGAGAGAGAGAGAGATATTTTGGTTGCTTGACAGTTGTAGGTTGCAGTTTGACGAGAGTTTATAGTTTGACACAAGCACAATGTTGTGTTATATTGCAAGTGTACACAAATATATATATATATATATATATATATATATTCCAGTTTGAAAAATTTCCTGTATGAACAAAAGGACAGAGTACAGTATGTTTTTATGTCTCCATTGTTCAATCACGTTTCACACAACAAGACATTATTGTTCTAATCAGATCAGGTAAGTAATATCCTGTCTTGTCCCTTAAAAAATAAAAATTATATATACACACACATATATATATATAGCTGCGAGCAGTGATGAAAGGGCCAAAGCTGGCGGCACTGCCACCCCGGTGCCTTAAAGGAACCGGGGTTGCGGTGCCACCGGCTTGGGCCCATCATCGCTGCTCGCAGCTATATTTTATGCTGTATTTATTCAGCATTTATGTTATTATGAATTCCATGCAGTTCTATCTAGTGATCGACCGATATATCGGCCGGCCGATATATCGGGCCGATATTTGAAGTTTTTACGTGTATCGGAATCGGCCGATACACCGCTGCGCGTTCGCCGATAGTTTTTTTCCCCCCGGCGTTATTTATAGACAGGCGGCCACAGGCAGCTCTGTGCTGCTAGAGACGCTGCAGTTCACGTGCCCCGCCCTCCCCCACTAGCAGAGTGCAACCTGCTCTTCACGAGAATGGTAACTTAAACTTTCAAAGGATCTTTTAAATGTTTGACTGCTGAAATATTGTCAAACACTTTGAAAATGGAAACACGTCGCCCTATAACTGTTATGTGCTTGCAACTAAGCAAGTTTGTGGGTCCAAATGGAAAACGCGAATGCCTCGTCTATAAAACTTAACTGCTTGCCATTGTATTAGGGAGCTGCAAATAGCTAAGGTGTAGGCTATCCGTTCAGTATGCATTAGGACTGTCTATGAATATTCTACATTCGAATATGTATTAATTTTGAAGGTGAAAATTAATATTTGAATATGGAAAAACACGCCCGCGGTTGCAGACAGCTGCACAGCTCGCTCGGAGCACTCACTGTCGGTTCTATACTGTGAAACTTCAATCACTGAATGAAGCCTGCTATATTTGGGACACGAGTCGCGACTCGCAACCTTAAATTGCTTGCACAAAACTCTTGATCAGCACTCAACATTTGTTTGTTGTTCATTTAACCGACGCGCAGCGTGAGGTTGAGAGAGAGAGAGAGTGCCTGAGCAAGTCCAGGCGAGAGAGTGAGCTCTGCGGTCTTGGCCATTAGTTGATTTAGTTTGCTTTTTAATACGTTGTTAAATATGTTTAAACTCAAATAAACTATCTAATACTAGTAGTTATGTCTCTTTGCATTAATATGTCCTGTTATTGACGTAATACGCGTCAACAACAAAACGCGCTACGGGATGTTCGAATATGTTTTTTAGAGGGAAAATGCAAACGCCATTTGAGTAATTTTGACAGCCCTAGTATGCATACGGGTGCTGTAACGAACACTGGTCATAGGATTAAGTAATGCCAACGTTGTTCAGTGTTTTTTGTGGGAGATTTATTCAGCGCTCTCCTGGCTGAGGTTTGGACGCGTGTGGAGTTTGTCTCCCTCGCCATCGCAGTGATATAAAGAGACTAGACATGCTCATTTTATTTTATGTAGAAAAATTGAAACCATGCAGTATATAGTTCGTTTCTTTTAAAATGAAGTACAGTGTGCACTGTGCACTTTATTATGCTGGTTGCTACTGTGTGCAATAGTGTAATTATTTAATTTATGCTTAAATATTTATTTTCAGCACTGAACTTTTTTTGTTCTACTTTATGTTTTTAATATTTGTTAAATTGTTTATCTACTTCTTCTTGTTCTACCTCACATGTTTTTACTATTTGTTAAATATTAATTTTTGAAGTTAATTAAATGTTACTTTTATTAAATTGAGACCTGTAACATTTGTTAACATCATGTTATTTTTAAGATGTAAATTGAGGGAGCAAAATGTATCGGCTCCAAATATCGGCTCAA